TTACAAAGCATGCTTTCCACACAGGTGTCATTGAGGACAGATTCCTGTTAATCCCAGTTGTTCCCTTAGTTTTGGTGAAGCTATTTTTTCTGTATAAGAATGCATATGGCATAATTAGTTGCTCAAGCGCAATTTGCTGAAAATATCCTTTCCTTAAGTTTGCTTTGCCCAACATGAATTAGCCATATGTGTGTGAGTCTATTTCTGAATTCTGATTTTTGTTCCAACAATCTGCTTGTCTTTTTGTTCCTTTAGTTTGTGGTAACAATTCTTAACTCTGTGTATGTTTCCAGTGATATTCTGTGAGCACACAACTGCATATTAAAGTGTCCTTGAATTTACTTTTGCACTTATTAAAATGCTCATAGTTGGCACACAAAATTTGATTTTTTTCTATTATTCTCATATCATGAAATGGAGCCATGTCAATTTATTCCAATTAGAGCTATTTTGTATGTACTAATGGTTGCATAATATTATAGTATATATTTGTATTATTATTTTTAGCAGTTTCTTATGCTGAATATTCAGGTTTCCCCCAACAACTGATATTACAAAACATTTTTTTCAGTGCATGGTCTTGTGTGTATATAAGTTTCCATATGACAGTAACTATAAGATAAGTTCCTAGAAATTGAATTCCTAAGTCAAATAATACATACATTTTATACTTTTACATATTTTGTTAGACTGCAACCCTAGAGATTTTTCCTAGAGATTTATTTGTAGATGGAAGTTTCTGTCCCACCTGGTCCCACAACTGTTTAGCCCCAAATAAACACACAGAGGCTTATATTAATTATAAACTGTTTGGCCAATGGTCCAGGCTTCTTATTGGTTACCTCTCTCTTAATTATTAACCCATTTCTATTAATCTCTGTGTTTCTACATAGTCTTAGCTTACTGCTGATGTCTGGGTCTGTTGCTTCCTTGGCAGCTACATGTTGTCTCTCCTGATTCCACCTACTACCTTTCTTTTATTTGTGTGTGTGTATTCTTTTTTTTTCTTTTCAGATTTTTAATTTGAATTAGAAACAAGATTGATTTAC